AAAAAAAAAAGGTGTCATGTTTGGAGAAGGATTATGAAGAATTTTACAACAATTCTAGGAGGAAACAGACCTGCTGAAAGTGAACCTATTGGATTTTGGAGAATGTAAGATGTGTCCGAAGAATTCATGGTGAGCTAAGTATGGAAACTCAAGGATTTTAGAAGGAAATTACGGTTTTTATTGTAGCAACCCAGGTTATTGTAGCAAGAAAGAAGTACAGGAAAGAAAAAGGATTCCGAAATACTGTTGATATATTCCTGAGTAAGATTCCCAAGATGCCTAAATAGACTTATTTAGTAAGATGGTTTCCTAGGGAAACTAAATTTATTACAAATACTACCTTATTTCTAAACCTCTTTCTCAGCATCATTCTTTCTGATTGGAATAATCCTGATCTGATTCGATTGCTTGAGTACTTCCAAAGCCATTCCCACCTTCTTCTACAGAACTTAAAAGCCAATCATGAGCTCTTTTCATCAGTTTTTTTTTTGTGAGATGAATAATTAATTGAAAGTTTGTTTTTTTTTTCTTTTTTCTGGTCAAAATCAAAGAGATATGAATAATTAATTGAAAGTTTGTTTGTTTGTTTTTTTCTTTTTTCTGGTCAAAATCAAACATATTCGTGATGTTAAATACTACAACATACTTATTAATGTTTTTTTTTTTCAAATCACAAAGTCAATAACAATTGAATTTAATTTTAAATTTCAAAATTGAGTTAATGAAAGAATTAAAACAAATTTTGTAAACAACCATGTGTCGGCCCATTGACTAGTCTTAAACTAAACCAAAGTACTTATGATTCCAGTATCCAAGTGTTTCCTATTACATAGAACAGATGCTCCTTTTATAGGCACCAAAAACTCTTATATTCCTAAATTAATAGGAAATAGAAAATCTGTCAGGAAATTGGAAACCATAGATAATCACAGCTCTTAATTAATATTCTAATTTGATAAGTATACTAAGATTCCTCAGTAGTATTCATATTCTTAGGTAAGATGATTTCCTAAAAGGACCGTTTACAGGAAATATTAATATATATAAAATCAAAGGTTGAATAACTGTAATTTATATACTCTTGATGATTGACTGCATCACTATTCAAGCTGTAGATCCTCCCAAATCACTTACTATTTCAGCCACCATATCACCACATGTTACCGTAACAAACTCTTCTCCAAACATAGAACCAGCCTTGCTAGTCAATGCCCTACCAAATACAATCTGTTGTCAGCTTGTCGATTCAACCTTTGGCAGAAAAAGTAAAAGCACAGCCGTATTTTCTCAAACTCAATCTAGAAAATTTTAAGATGAATGGTCAATGGTGTCAATAGAAATGCTGAACTTGATGCTAGTGATTTTTATGGGGAAAGCAATCCTCATGTATTTCTTGGTTGATTTTCATGGTATCACTTTAGTGTTCAATGAAAGATTTATTTTGCAAAGGCTAGGCTAAAAGGGAAGCCAAATTCTGGAGAGAAAAATTTCAACAAGTATGTTATGTTACTCTCTGAATTTGGGATGATATGAAGATTGCTGGTTCTGGTTACTGAATTTGGGATGATATGAACATTGCTGGTTCTGGTTATTCTGTGCCATCATACAAGCAACAAGTTCACATGCAATTGATACAAGGATGCTTAACTAATGACGAATACCCTATGGAATTTCTTAGCTTGGTAGCTAGGGCAGAATTTCCATGAAATGGAGATGTCATGATTTCTATGTATGACGAGGCTTGAATGGATCCACCTTCATGATTTCAATGTATTGAAAAGGAATGACAATTAATAAAATAAATTATATGTGACAAATTATCATTTTATATTAAAAAGGAAAAAATTATCTTTGCCCTGTGGAAACTCTCAAGTTAGTTGACTTGTGAAACTATACTGGAGTTTGAGTCAATGCTACTTATGATGAATTCAGATCATCTTTGTTTTAATTTGAAAATCTCCATTTCTATGAAGACTGAAACATATATTTAAATTTACAATTTTTTGTTCTTATATGTACTTGTCTATCTTCAACTTTTGTTGAATTCTATGTGAAAGAATTAGTTCATCTTAATAATCAGTCTACTGTTCATTTCATCCTTGCAGATTTACAGCAGTGGTAATCCAACCAACATTGCAAACCCCATCAAAGATGCAAGTGTTCAGGTTGATATTAAGACCGTGGGTGGAAGGTTGACCTTGTATCAAACTACCCTTTGTGAAAAGCTCCCATGGGATATCATCGACTCTGATTTTGATCTGGATCCCCATGGTTATTTTGATACATATAATAAAAATGATATCCAGCTCATATGCTGCCAGGAAGATGCAAGTGTGCTGTGGCTTGTTCCAAATGTGGTTCAGATGAGATTTATCCAGTCTCTTGACCGGGATATGGATATGGATATAATTTTTACATGGGTACTTACCAGGGATAGGCCGAAAGGAAAGGAAGTTGTGAAATATGAGAACATTGTCAGTCCTACAGATCTTCCAAAACAATCAGACATACAGAAAGTTCTTAATGGTTCTACAAACAGCTTTAGGATATATAATCTATATGCAAAATACTTACGTGTTACTGGTTCGGGTGAAGTCAGATCTTTTGAACAAGAGGTAATCTACACTTTATCTAAATACTTGTCTTCATTTATTCTTACAATAACCCCCCACACAATTTCTGCATCTGCATATTTGCCATTCATAAATATATGCATATTTATATCAAAATTGATGTGTTTTCATTAAGTACCGTTAAGGCCTGTTAAATAGATTTAATGATTATCTATATCATAATATATTGTGCTATGAATTTTTCAGTTAGGAAAACTGATAGTTGACTATGAATTGGTCTTAAATGAGGTAGTCTAGACATATGACCAGTAGGTCCTAAATAAAGTTACATGAACCTTTGGAACGTACATTTATTAGAACATCACTGAATGTCAATATTTACAGGTGGATGCAGTTAGTGCAGACCTTGTCTTAAATCGTGCAGATTTTAACTGGTGGTCATTCTGTGATATTAATTCGTTGGATATTCATGGCTGTGGAGGTTTGACAGGACCTATGGCAATTGTAATGTCTGAGGAAACACCACCACGTGAGTTTAAAGAGGCATTGCTATGACATTTATGTATACAACAATATGGTATGGCCTTTTCTTTTATGACAGCACTAATGCTCAAATGCTGCTGCAGAGGGTATTCTTGGTGACACCATCAGCAAGTTCAGTATCTGGGGTCTCTACATAACCTTTGTGCTTGCCGTGGGCCGTTTTATTAGACTCCAATGCTCAGACTTAAGAATGAGAATACCGTACGAGAATCTACCTTCCTGTGACAGGTAACCAACTAACATGCATCTCTGTTCTTATGGATTGACTTTCTGAAAAAGGATGCTCAGTTCAAAAGAAAATGTAATGAAAAAAATGATTTCCTTTCCTAAAATGCTTAGTAGGATAGAACTTCATTTGCATTTTTACAAGAAAAATCATTTGCATGCAAACCATTGCTACTAGAAGTGCTTCAGACATATGTGACAACGTGGGGTCATATATGAAATCATTAATTGATTGGTCTGGCATAAAAATACTACCTATCACCTTGTGAAAAATCTTAGTAATATCTATTTGTACACACAGCATTACCCTTCGTAAAAATCATTTCCTGATTTGATGTAGGTTGATAGCCATTTGTGAGGACATTTATGCTGCGAGAGCAGAGGGTGAGCTTGGAGTTGAAGAGGTTCTTTACTGGACACTCGTAAAGATTTACAGGTCACCGCATATGCTTCTGGAGTACACCAAACCAGACTAGTACGGACAAGCTACCGTTCAGTTTCATTTCACAAGGATGCTGACATTATGTTTTGACCAGCATCAAGTTACTCAAGACCATGAATGGATAGTGATTCCTCTCTATGCTTTCATATGAAACTTCGTAATATCATTTCTGCAGAGGATTCACTGCTTCAACCTTGATGAGGTCTTATTGTGAGTTTCGCCCTCTGTTTATAATTCCAGCGCAGCACCTTCATAGTTTATGACTTGTCTCCCCGCATGGCCACTGTGAGGGCAGCACGACTTGCAACTGAATGTTACGGAGTCGAACAGAAATTTTTCTTGCTATCTATATATAGGGTTTTCAAAACACCCAAATTCGTGTACAGAACTTTTCTGGGTGTTGAGCAATGTGTACACTAACCGTACTCTCAATGTATGGAATTGATTCTTGCAAAATTTTAAACAGATTTCTAATTCAAATTCTAAACTCTAAAAGAAGTTCGAAATGAATTGAATAATTGAATCCTAATTAAAAATCCCAATGCGTCGTGCCTGCTGAGGGCTTTGAATTTTTCTTTGTTTGGCTAGGATAATGCACCCACTCGCACGCATACCAAGAGTAGAAATCCATCATTTGATTGTCTTTAATGCCCATCATAATTTTTCTAGAATTTTCTGCCATGGCCGGTCACACTTTCGCGGTAGCTTTTCAACCCAGGCTCATCTCTCCAATCCAACACAAGAGGATGTACAGTGCAATTTTTTTAAGAAAACAAATACGCGCGATGGTCAATTATCAGTAATGATGGTGAGAGACAATATCAGAAATTCACATTGACCTGCCACATGCTTTCAAAACATGCAAAACCAGACCATTCATGACAATGAAGTTATTTCCCAGTTTGAAATGATAAACCTTGCTGAAATCGACCATCAAGAAGCTGACACTCTTATTGTGTCGCTAGACCAACATCTTGATGCTGGTTCTTTACCCCCAAAAGTTACAGATGCAATCGCATTGCTAACTTCCTTGACAATAGCAAGCTGTATGGTCCATTATCCCAGGTTTCTCCAAAGGGAAAACTAATTCTTCTACTGTCTCCCCCAACCCAAAACCAGATAAACTTTTACAGCAACAATACCTAGTAAACACGGATGCCTACAGATTTCCTAAAAAAAAAAGACTAGATTCCGCAGCCAGAAAAGATTACAGCAGATTGTGAAACATCTAATGCGAATAAATAAAGATAAAGAGTTAATTAACAATTAGTTTAACTATTAAAAAACAAAAACAATGTTCTACCATCTGTCTCAAAGCATCAGCTCTTTCTAGTTGCCTTGCAATAATTAAGACAAGCCTGGGAGAGGAAGAGGAGGAGAGGGAGCATAAACCACATCAATATCAACAGGGATAAACAAAATCCTCACAAAAGGTGAAAAGCTGCAGGAAATTCTCGCCAGACCATTCTCACAACATACAAGACCCCAAAACAATTTAATGCAAATCAGCCGGCAGATCAGTTTCAGTTTAAGCTTCATCCTTTAATGCCTTCCTTTTGTTGCCATTTCCACTAGAGGAAACCTTCCTCGCAGCATCTTCAGGGATGGTGTCTTCCATTACCTTTGGAGAGGTAAAATTGAAGTCAGATAGGTTTACATCTTTGTATTTTGGATTTGCTTCTATAAATGCTGCCATCTCGTTACGTGTTCTCAGCTTCTTTCCCGTGGGTGTGATATAGTATGCATCCATTTTGGAGAAATCACGTCTAAGAACCAAGCTCCTTTTAAAACCTTTTGGTGTCTTTGGAATGCCAGGCTTATCAATGACCCAGGTTCGAGTGGCATTGTACTCAATGTCAGCAGGTTCATCACAAGATACACCAGGTTTTCTGTTACAAACAAAGGGAGACTCTTCCATTTTACTTCTGATCTCCTCATACTCTTCTTCAGTTGCAATCACCCTCCATTTTAAGCATTTGTCACATTGTGCGGCATATGTATCAATCGATCGCACTGCAACTCGTGGATTCTGTCATCAAAACTTAAAACTTAACTACCATCTCTTTCCTTTATATTTTCCTCAAATTTCAGAATCAAAAGTTAACGAATCTGTAACTATTTATGCAGATTAGGTTCATATATCTAAAAGAAACATGCATTCTGAAATATTGAATTACTCAAATCAAAAGGGAATGAGAATAATGCATCTATGTGACAGAATCGGTTATCATCAAGCATGTATTTTATTTTGCTCTCTCTATGGTGCATCTTAAAAGGTTAGATTACCACTAGGAAAGGCAATCATCAGCTTTGAAAACTAAATGGGTAGCTCAATTTACCACTAAAAATTGACTTGGAAAAACAACAGGAAAAGAAAAAAAGTGCGTCCTTTTATTATCCATTTGACACACACAGTTCATATTCTCCCTACTTACAGCCACAGTTTATCACATGAAGACACAAAATTGTACTGTACCAAAAAATCTTGCAAGATTTCCAGCTTGTTAAGGGGCAAGAGCAGAAAAAAAAAAATCTTGCAAGATTTCCAGCTTGTTCATCATAAGAAAAACTGTACTGTACCAAAAAATCATCGAGAAATGAGGACCTCGAGGCACCACCAAACGACAAGATTAACACGTAAACCAGCATGTCAATAAAATATCATATCATCAATTTCAACTACTATTCCTTATCAGACTCAAAAGAAATACTAATCGATTTTTTTTCTTTTTATCAAATGAAAAAACAGTTTGTGTTGCATTTAGTAGATAAAAAAGAGAAATCACAACATTTCGCTTAGTCGTAGCATTTCTACCCTTAGCTATCAAGAAGGCTCGACTTTTCTTCAAAATAAATAAATAAATCTCAACAACCAAGGTATTGAAAGGAACAGAACAGATCGGAACTAGAAGCCCTAGATTAGGTTAGGATGAATCAGAATCGTACCTTGGAGGAGGTTTTAGGGGTTCCGGGACTACGCTCTTTCAGTGCCATCGCTCTCTCTTTCTCTCTCTCAGCTGCTTTTCTCTTCTTTCTCGTCTCTTCAGATCGATCACCAATTCAAGTAAATTTTATCTGCCTGCCCTGCCCTGGACTAATAACCCCTTCTTCGGACACAACACCCTTTATTTAAGCAAAATACAAAATCTGTTTGGGTTTTCTTACACACCTAACGACGAATGTCACTGTTCTGCTGATCTTTTGACACGTATTTTGCTACCAGAGTTAATTATATCTTAGTCCCTGTTTTATTCAAACTTGTTAACTAGTCCACAGTTCTTTAAACTGTTTTCAATTTAATAGTTTTTTGTTACAAGATCTTCTTCTCTTCTCTTTTAATTTTCCCGTATAAATTTTTTTTTATCTCTTTCAGCATAGGAAGAAGAAAAATGAGTTAGAAAAGAGCATGAAAATGACGAGAGGATTGAGTTTTATAAATGGATTGAAACAAATAAGGGTTAAATATATAATTCTTGAAATAAAAAGGACTGGTTAATATTTCTGCTGTACTATAGTGACCAATTTATAATTAACTAGCACAGTGACGTTGGAGTCATTAACAAGTTACATTCAAATTCAAACGCGGCCGAACTAACAGCCCGCTTTAGTTTTAAATAATGTCCTTTTAAGAAAAACTTATTAATACTTTGTAATATAATAATTATATTTTGCATAGGTATATATTAAAATAATATTTTTTTTATTTTTAATATTAGTATGTTAAAGAAAAACAACACTAAAAATATTAATTTAAAGTTAAAAATTTTAAATATTTTTAAAAGTTTGGTTGGACTATAATGCCAATTCAATGTTGCATTAATGCTAAATTTGTAAAAGTCTATCTATTAAATGTTTTTTGGAATTTAGCACAATAATAAAAGAAATTGGAAAAAATAACATTATTAAGATAATCTTTAGAGAAATAATACAGTTTGAAAAATTACATATGTTATATGAGACACTAGATTATGCTATTTTCTTAAATATTCTCTTTTCTCTATTTTTTTATTATGCTAAAGTTAAAAAAACTCTAAATATTTATCCATAAAACAAAAATAAATATATATATCAACAGTGAGGTATTTATGTTAAAATACTATTTTTTTTACCCTAATAAATATTCAAATACATTCATATTCCCTAAGTCAAATGCATTGTCATGTCTTGGATTTATAATATATTTATATCTTATTCATTACCTATTAAATAAAAAATTTAAAAATTATATTTTATTTATTAAGTTCTGAGATTTTTAAAATATATTATATATGCGTATAAGATATAAATATACATATCAGATGGAGTTTCATATTGAATTTGATAATTTTATACGTTATTTGTTATTTATCAATAAAGTAATTATAAGAAAAAAAATCATAAATCTAAATCTCATGTATTTGGATAAGTTATATATCTATAATTTCTGAAGATTTATCTTGCTGATGTGTGTGTGTGTAATAATCCATTACTCACTCGGTAGAATTATGAAGTTCCACAAACAGTATCTCAATCAAGAAAAAATCTCTTAAATTAATTACAAGCAAAGAAGAATAACAAATGTCTTTCTTAGTTGATTTAGCTAAGTACTAAAATAAAAGGCTTCAACTGAAAGTGAATAGCTTGTTTGGGCCAGGCTTGGCGAGCAAACCAAGTTGCTTGTGCCTAGCTAAATTTTTTAATCCCTTTATAGTCTTTCTTTCTCTCTCTCTCTTTTACATATAATCTTGTCATTTTTTATTAAAATTACCCAAACAGTCTAATAAATTATTCTCAAATCCACACTTTTTATGAGACACAACACGATCAATGAAAACTTACTGTCTTGTTTCAAAAGCTAAATTATTTATTTGTTAATGTCAATCTAGCTACTTTTACAAGTTAAGTTATGATGTCATTGTCATCCTACTCCTAATCTTTATTTTGGAAAAGGTGAGTAATGGAACAAGTTTTTATAAATACTTGAATTGGTTAATGAGAGTTTAAAACACTCATCTATCTACTACACATAAAAAACACCCCTTCATTTCTTGACCTTTTTACTTGCTTATCACTTGAATAACAAAACTAAAAAAAAGACTAACTTGAGCATCAAAGAATTGAAACATCAACTCATACTAGTGCAGTCAAAACTATTATCAATTATAGAAAAGCCTAAAGATTCATTGAAGTTTTTCTTCGACTTCATAAGGGGCATTGATTGTGGAGAAATGAAAAAAAGCTATGTCTATTTCCTATCCAAACCTTGATTTGAAATCTTTCATGGTTGGCAACATGAAAACACCATGTGAAGGAGTTACAAACCTCCTACTATCTTTATCAACTACAATTAACCTCTAATAATTTGCTTAATACATGAGAGCACTCATAAAAGTTGTGTTAGCTACCCAGCAATAACTTAGGTCTCTTCCTAATTATCCATAAAGTATATTGGTTGTTATTTGATAATTTTCTCCTCTTGCACCTATATGCATAATTAGCTCAATTTCCCTAAGGAAATTAGAAAAAACAAGGTAAAAGAAAGCATATATTACACCTCCACCTTTCAATGATAAAATATCTTCATTATGAGAAACCTTTTCATATGGGGTCGTCTAGACATGATCTCTACAAATCAAAAGGAAAGGGTCGGGGCCATATCCTTTATCGATAAGCTTGTTGTCCCTCAAAGTCTACGTAGAGACGAAGATAGAAATGTCTTAGGCAAAATAAAAGATTCACCACTATGTAATAGTATATTGAACACTCATTTTTTCAGAGATTTTATGGTCACCAAGATTAACCTTAAAAGAATACTTTCAGAATTTTAAATGTAGCTTGAAATTGGTGATCTAGGACTCTAATGTCATGAGTACTACCTTTCATTTTTTATAAGTCCTTGTGTGTATGGTATCTTAGTTTGAAATCAAGTTCTATACTTAGCTTTGTTAACTTAGATCATAAGTTGATTGTTTATTTTAGTATGAACATACCAACAAAAACCGCTTAACTAGAAAAAGAGAGAACCAAAGCTTATTTAAAAAGATTTAACAAAGAGATGTTGAAGGTAGAAAACATATTGGAACCAATTGTGATATTTCTCTCAATAAAAAATGGATATACTGGGACCATTTCCCGAGGCACCTAAAAGAAGACAGGTCATTTCTATAGTTGTTGAATACCTTACAAAATGGATGGAGATAGAGGCCCTAACAGAGATAATTACTAGAAAATTATCTTTTTTTTGAAAAAAATATTATTTGTAGGTCTGAGCTTTCTCGAGTGTTGATCACAAATAATGGAACCCAATTAGATAATAAAAAAAAATAAGAATAAATTTAGAATCTTAACATTAACCACGAGTTTTCTTTAGTGTTGCATTCATATACAAATGGACAATCAAAGCTCACTAATAATCTATTATTATGAGCTGAACCCTTAGATGAAATTTTATAGGTATATAGAACCACTCAAATACCTTTAAAGGTGAGACACCATTCTAATTAACATATGGTACTAAAGTTATGATTCTTGTAGAAATTAGATTCCATAGTCATAGAGTGTTATATTTCTCTGTTGACACAAATATTAAGGAATTAAAGGCAAATATGGACTTGGTAAAAAAAGTTAGACTCATTGTAGAAATAAAAATAGAGGTTTTAAAACATTAAGCTACTTAATACCATAATTCTACAGAGAAGAACAAACATTTTAAAGTGGGAGACATTGTATTATAAAAAACTAAAGGTAATAAGGAATATTAATTGGAAAGGAAAGTTGGCTTCAAAATATAATGACCCATTTAAGATGGTATACGTGATTAAAGCTAACACTTATCATATGTAAGATAGGAAAGGAAAAAATATGCTTTATACATGATACTTTAACCACTAGAAGATGTACATTTATTGAATATACTAAACATATAGAGTCTCCAATTTATTTTAAGAACTACTTTTGTTGTGATAAAAAAAAATTCCCACCACATTTTATTTCTCTACTATAGGTGTACTAGTTCTACTCCATTTTGTATTCAGCCTAAAAAATTTCCTCCAATAAACTTTTGTATCTCCATCATATCTCCAAGTTGTTTTTTTCAAGTTTATCTCCATGATTAGTTCTACCTAACTCTAAATTTTCTCCCATATGTCTCCAAGACATTTTATTCAAGTTTTTCTCCATGATTCATCATATATATAACTTTATAAGTCAACATATATCCATGATTATTTTTTAGGTGTATCCAAATCCATGTTATTCTTCATTTTACACTTCAAGAATATCAAATTCAAGATAAAGTGATACAAATTATTCTATTTTATTAAAAAAAATAAAAAATAGCCTGCAACACGTGCAAAACCAAAAGAACATGAACATCTAAGCATCGCAACCCCATCCAATGGAATGAAAACAACAACATGAATGGAACCAAATAAAAGCAAGAGAAACTATAAGTTGATTTCCTTCTCTGGACCTTTCATGTAGAAGCTATTCCTCGTAGGCTATGGCTTTAGCATAATCTGAAAAAATCTCATCATAATTAGGAACAACATTAGGATAAAACGCATGTGAAAGGTCTATAGTATTTCTCTTAACCTTGTTATCAAAACCGACATCTCTCATCACAAGCATCATCTCATTGTCTATACAATCATGAGAGGCACTTGTATTTTTATAAAACATTTAAAATTCCTCAGGATTACTCCTAATCTCTCGCAACTTGGAATAACTATTTCTAAACAAAAGCAAGCTTAATATGAAGAGTAATTAATGTTGTCTAATCTTTTGTGGGCTTTCTTTTAACAAAGACAAGTTCTTCTCTAACCTTTGTCTTTTTTTCATGCATTTTCTTTAGGTTAGAAAAATAAACATCTTTATCTTTCAAAGTTGCATGGTATGATAATTCTAACTCACAAAACCATCCCTATAGCTCTACACGGGCCTTTTTAGACTCTTACATTCCTTTTAGGTAAGAGATATATACCTAAGTACATTCTCCCTTTCGACCTTCCACCTTATCGTAGACATGACATGTATTTAGAAGGCCTGAAGAAAAAAAAAAGAATGAAAAGGATATACAAGTAGAAGAAAAAATAAAGATTTACATGAAAAAGCACTTGTTGAGCTTCACTCAAATGATCACTAAAATTACAAAAATATGAGTGATTGACCTTATAGGGCACCTACGAA